TGCGGTTCAGGGCCAGTGTGACCCCTCCCCAGTGCCCATTGCGGTTCAGGGCCAGTGTGACCCCTCCCCAGTGCCCGCTGTGTGCTGCGGTTCAGGGCCAGTGTGACCCCTCCCCAGTGCCCATTGCAGTTCAGGGCCAGTGTGACCCCTCCCCAGTGCCCGCTGTGTGCTGCGGTTCAGGGCCAGTGTGCGTGCAAGCTCAACTCTGACTGTGGCAGGTTCTCTCGTGGGTAGGTGCAGCACCACTCTTGATGTTATGCACCAACCTCGCAGGTTTTAAAAAGCTCTGTTCTCCATGGTTATCACGGGCCTGCCTCGGGGTACCACAGGCTTGGTTCTGGTCCCCTACAGTGAGGTGAGGCACAGGAGTTGTGTGCTTTCCCAGTGAAATGGGGTGTTTGCACCCCACGGCAGCCTGCTGAGTGCACTGGCATGATGAGAACATCCGACGTAGTGTGAGAATGACCCACAGGGACACCCGTGTGAACTGAGCAGTGAATGAGGTGTGCCTGTGAGTGACACCGCACAGGTGGGATGCTGCGGGCTGGCATCTTCCCGGGTCCAGGGTGACTCCCTTAATCCTGTCTCATGTACACTTCCTGCAGAAGTACTGAGGCCTCTGTTAGGTTTTTTGCAGAGGGTATAACTTCGTGTGCCCACCCTTGTCCACCATAGGGCACACTGCACACACTTCTGGGCTTCCGTGCCCCTTACCAGTGTCTTGGAGGCAGTGGCCCTCACCATATTTTGTTGGTGTCCCACAGTGACTGATGTCGGTGCTGGCGGGGTGTCAGGCTCTGCTTGCATTGTTTCAGCCCTGTGCCCTGCCCAAGACACAGCCGTCTTGGCACACACTGGCTCTTACCCGCACAGTCAATTCCTAGGGCTGGTGTTACTGCTTCTGAGTGACGCGTTTGGAGCAGACAGTTGTTGCTGTACTTGGGCTCAGTTGCAGATGGTTTTCTAGGGAAGGACGAGGCCTAGTGACAGGTGGGGTGGGGAGTGGACGGGCACTGGGTTTACGCTGGGCTCCTTTTGGTCCAGGTCGGCTGGATGATGTGGAACTGGATGGTGTCCGCCCTCGCCACAGGGGCGTCTGTGGTCTTGTACGACGGCTCCCCGCTGGTCCCGACGCCCAACGTGCTGTGGGACCTGGTGGACAGAATCGGGTAGGTGTCTCCTGAGGGTCCTGTGAGTGCTCCTGAAGCATGGCTCCCCCCGCCCCCACCGGCCTCCACGAAGCCCCAGTGCTGTTTTGGGACGTTTCTTTCTGTTCTGGCCATCTCATCTCAAGGAGGGGGTGGCAGGGGCCACTGGTTGATGTTGAGGTTGTCACGGGATGGGTTTGAGGTGGGCACCGATATGGACTGACCCCATCGGATGAGGGCGTGCCTTCGTGGTGCCAGGGAGTGGTAAGTGCACCTCCCATCACTTGTTAGAAAGTGCCAGGAGCTTCGCCCATCTTCATTAGGTTTCTTGGCTGTGAATTAATCATAGGGGCTTGGGTTTGAGCACTGTGATCGATGTTTCCTGGCCACTGTGGTCCTCAGATACCCTTGTCCTCGTGGTGGACTTCATGAATAACAGCGTGGACGCCAGCAGAGCTCTCTGGGGGCCAGATGTCCAGCAGGCTCTGAGACGTCCTCGTTACTTCACATTGGGACCTGCTTTCTCCACTGGGAGACAGGAGGGGTCGTGCACGGTCTGAAATCCATGGCCATTAATATTTTAACTAGAACTTCGCCTGACTGTGTTATATTTAAATCCTAACATTTGACTGCAAATATTCAAAGGGCAGGTTATTTTCTAATGAGATTGTTTCCAGAGAAAGGTTAATAAGCTCCCTGGGAGCTGAAGTGGCTTCAAGACCTTTAGCCTTAATTCTATTTAGACAGGCTCCAGGTGGAGAAGTGTTTCTCCTGTGTCTGTGGGGGTGCACTCGTTAGCGCTTAGTGTTAATTGTGAGGGGAGAGGGACCCAGAAATCCTCGGGGGGGGGTGCCTGTGAAAGAGAGAAGAAATGTGACTATATGTACAAATGGATCAATGAGCGTGTCAGTGTGAGTATATATGAGTGTGTGAATGTGAGTGTGTATTTGTGAATGTGGATGAGTATATAGGTCAGAATGTTTTAGTGAGAGAGAGAGAGAGAGAGAGAGAGAGAGAGAGAGAGAGAGTGTGTGTGTGTGTGTGTGTGTGTGTGAGGATGCCTGTTTAGGTTCAGGATGTGCTAGCGAGCATATGAGAGTCTGTGTGTAAGTATCTGAGTGTGAGTGAAGGTGAGGGTGTGTGTGTAAGTTAGGGTGTGTTAGTGAGTGTGAGTCTATGGATGTGTGTACAGGTCCTGGCTGTGGCTGTCAGGGGCAGTTGAAGGAGCTGGTGGGTGTAGGCTCCCCTTGTTCTGCACTTTAACTGAGAAAGTGAAATGGTTACTTGCTTAATAAAGACTGTGCTTTGTTATAGAGAGTGTGAGGTTAGACTGGGAGGGGGTCCCCATTTCATGCCCCCTGTGGCCCTCGAGATAAAATGCTCTAAGGTGAGAAGGCCGTTGGCTGCTGTGCAGGTGAAGGGCTTCAGGAGGACCAAGAGGGCCAGCCCCGCCGTGGGCTTGGAAGGGCACCCACCACCATCGCCACCTGGCAGTGCTGCGCTGTGACCGCCCCTGGCACATCAGTATGTTCTGGCAGTGATAACTTGACTCCCAGAAACAGCTGCATTGGTTTTTACAACCTTATCAGACGTAAATCAGCCACCAGCTCTGGAAAGCTTGGTGCGTGGCACTGGCGAGAGCCCTGACAAGTGTCGTCCTTTCCTTCCTGCCGGCCCTGCTGTGGCCCTTAGCATCACCATCCTTGGAACCGGTGCCAAGTGGCTGTCCGTGCTTGAAGAGAAGAACATGAAGCCAGGTAAGTACACCGCTGAGCTGCTTGGCATCTGAGAGGCAAGCCCGGGGGATTAAGCCCATTGTGTTGCGTTCTTCCTGCATGCAGGTGGGGCTTACAGGTTTGGGGTGTAGTGTTAATCTTTTGGAAATTCTGTCTTCTAGTGGAAACCCACAACCTCCAGACACTTCACACGATCCTATCCACTGGCTCCCCGCTGAAAGCCCAGAGCTACGACTACGTGTACCGGTTCATCAAGGGCAGTGTGCTCCTGGGCTCCATCTCAGGTACGCCCCGCTCTGGGCGCTGGTGCAGTCAGAGGGGTTGTGCGTGGACTCCTCTACGTAGGGCGAGGGAGACCGTACGCTCCCTTCACCTGAGTGCTGAAGCCAGCCTGGAGCCTCACGCCTGCTTCATCCTCTACCAGAGTCCACTTGTTGATCCAGAGTGAAAATATGAAGTGATCACCATATATATGTGCAAAACCAGGCTTGTATCAGTGAAAAACTGGAGATTAACCAGTGGGCCAGACTCCAGGAACAGACAGGTTACCAACTGAAATCCTCCAGCAAATGGGTACAGCGCTGGGCATCCTTGCTCATCCGTGCCGGGAAGTTGAGAAGACCTGGCCGGCCGACCAGAAGAGGTCCGTGTTTGTGTCCTTCCAAAGAAAGGTGATCCAACAACATGTGAGTCACACACAAAGTCACACTGAAGATTGTTTATAAACAGCTGGAGCAGGACGTAGACTGGGAACAGCCAGAGGCTCAAGCTGGATTCAGAAGAGGCCGTGGAATGAGGGACACCACTGGTTTTATTAAATCTACGGCGTTCAGCTGTGTAGATCATAATAACTTATAGATGACATTGAGATAAATGGGAATTTCAGAGCACTTAATTATGCTCATGTGCCACTTAAACTGTGACCAAGAGCAGTTGTCCAAGCAGAGGACACTGCGTGGTTTAAGATCAGGAAAGGTGTGTGTCAGTGTTACATCCTTTCTTCTTAGCTATTAGTTCTCTAGGTTGAACAGATCATTTGAGAAACGGGACTGTAGAAGAAAACAGTGGCAACAAGATTGGAGGAAGACTCATCAACAACCTGCCTTGTGCATGTGGACATTGAAGAGGACTTGAAGCACTGCCTGTAGAAGATTGAAGGCGGTAGTCTCTGATTTGGGTTACACCTTACAGTCAAGACAACAGAAATTCTCACGACTGGGCCAATAATAGATTCATTTTCTTTATCTGCCGTGTGGTCAGTGTGCATGGCAGTAGCAGTCAGGAAATCACAAGAAGTGTTGGGTTAGGAACATCTGCTGTCATAGACCTCTTAAAACTGCTTCAAAGAGCAAGAGTGTCAGTTCAAAAACTAAGATGCACCTCACTCAGGTGATGGTGTTTTCTCGTGCTTCCTGTGCAGTCGGAAGCTGGGCAGTGAGTAAGGGAGACTCGGGAACTGAAGACGAATCAGGGTATGAGTGAAGAATGTTGACTGTCCCATGGGCTGTCAGGAAACGCAACAAGGTATCTGGGAGCAGTGCAGCCGGTGCTCCTTGAAAGCCAGTGATGGCGAGACCTTGTCTTTTATAGTTTGGCTGTATCATCAGGAGGGACCACCTGGTCAAAGCAGAGGGTCGTGAGAAAGAGGAAGACTTTGGATGAGATGGAGTGACATAGACATTGTTGGAACGATGGGTTCGCACACAGAGATGGCTGTGAGGCAGGGTTTGTTCTGTTGTGCCTGGGGCTGGGCTGGTATCCTGGCATCCTCATCCTCCGAGCTTCGGCCAGGCCGGCGCTGCTGGTTGGTCACTCCTCCAGGGGTGGAGACTCCTATGTCCCCCAGACACAGGCTTCTCCGCAAGGTTTAGTTCACCCCTCTTTGTTGCACAAAGAAGCTCCTTGGATCGGGAGGAAGGGTGGTCTGCTGCTTGTTCTTTTTTAAGAGTGCCCGTCTTGTCTCAGCTCTCTGAAGTGTGAGTCTCTTTCCATGCTGTTTGCAGGTGGCACTGACATCATCTCCTGTTTCATGGGCCAGAATCCCTCGATCCCTGTGTACAAGGGGGAGATCCAAGCCCGGAACCTGGCCATGGCGGTGGAGGCCTGGGACGAGGAAGGTACTCGGTAGCTGTAGAGTTGGAGTCACAGTTCTGCCAACTGTTGGAGGGTAGAGCAGCAGCGTGGACTCCATGCTCTTGCTTCTCCCCACCATAGTGGCCCTGAACGTTCGTGGGGTTGGATTGGAGCTTACAGGAGCCGTCCACCTGGGAGGGCCTGGAGGGTGTTCCACCGTGGGAGTCCTCCGACCCACCAGCTCAGGGGCATGGTTGGCCTCTCAGCTCATGGGTTGGTTTTGGCCCCCTGCAGTGGCGTGACCCCGGCCCCTCACCAGGCCTGGCGTGCTGCATCATTAAGTTCAGGTTCATGGACTTGCCCAGCAGGAGTCTTGGCCGCTCTGACCCCAGGCTCAGGACAGGCGGGAGGCTCAGCTCGTTTTCTGTCCTTCCCTCCAGGAAAGGCAGTGTGGGGGGAGAGCGGCGAGCTGGTGTGCACCAAGCCCCTCCCCTGCCAGCCCACGCACTTCTGGAACGACGAGAACGGGAGCAAGTACAGGAAGGCCTACTTCTCCAGATTCCCGGGTAGGTTGAGGAGACGTGGCCAGGAGCCGACGGCCCCTGCCTTGTCTGGCTCTGTGTGTGTTCTGTGTGGCTCGGTCCTTCCTGAACGCCCTCCTCCCAACCCCCAGCCTCTTGCTGGAGCTGCTTAGGTCTCGGTGGCAGCTGATAATGAATTATGATCCGTAACTTGTTGTGTGACATCCTGACCTGGGTTTGGTTTATTCTCATCACCAGCTGTGCCAGGTGTCTCTGTCCCGAAGCCCTGCTGCTGGGAGCTGGCCTGACCCTGGCATGTCTGTGTGCAGGTGGGGGTCTGCTTCTGCCTGCGCAGAGGGGCCTGGTGGCCGGAGGGGCGGCTGGCTGGCATTTTCTTCTCCGTCTTGCACTCGTGGTGGGGGGTGATTTCCCTCCAGGAGCACTGCTCTCGGGCTGACACTAGGGCAGCCTCACCTCATTTTACAGCTCGGGTTCCTGGCTTCTTTTTGCCTCACTAGCAACCTGGAATTATTGCTGCTCTGTAATTCATAACTTAGCAAGCCTTCTGTTCCGAGTTATTTATACCGAGGGCTTGCTTCGTGCAGGCTCCAGAAAGGGGAGTTGATTTTTCACCAGGCACGCGGAGGAGTGGGCGTCCAGGGTGCCCGTGGGTGGACAGGGCCCCAGCACCACCCCCCCAGCGCCAGTTCTGCTTGCCCGTGCCACGTGCACACAGCACCTCCCTGGCTCCTCCCCTCCCTGCAGGACTGGCCACAGGGTCCCTGGGGGCACCGGAGAGACCGCTGCCAGGTCAGGATGAGGAGGACACGGCAGCACCTGCAGGAGGGCCAGGGCCTTGGCGCCTGGGAGCGAGGATCCTGTTAGGAGATGACGTCTGTTTTCTGTGACCCTCCTTGTGGAGCTGTCTCCGCTCTAGGCACGCCTTGGGTGACCGCACTCTGCACGTCTTGCGGTGTGTCACACCGAGGCTGTGGCAGTCCTGCGTTGAGCTAGGCTGCTGGCGCCGTTGCCCGGCAGTGCTCACCTGCTGGCTCTGTGCCCCGTTACTTCACACTGACCCCCTTGCTGTCACACATAGACTCCAGTGGAGGGTCAGCCTGGCTTTTCGATGCCTTGGACGCCAAGTGAGCCAAACGGCTCGCTTGGTTGTGATGTCCCCTGTGTCGTCATGGTGGCCCGGCACTGAGCCAGCTGTGTCTCGAGGTCGGCCTCTGCGAGGGTTCGCATGACAAACGTCTCCTGGGTCAGCCCCACGCTGCCAGCCATGGCTCGGGCCTCCCCTGGCACAGCTGACCACTAGGGGACAGTTCCAGCTGACTCTGTCCTCTTCCTCTGCCCTCCATGTCCCTGGGCCTGGCCTGTGAGCTGCTCCTCAGACCTGGCCGCATTACGGGCTGGTGCAGTAGCCTCTTCCCTGCTCCCGTCTCTCTCCCAGGACCTGGCCCTGCCCCTCTGTCCAGACCCATGCCCGACTTTCCTGCCCTTTCCCCACTTCCCTGCTGCCAGGGGCAGGCCTCGTGCTGCTCTGGTCCCCATGGTGCCTGCAGTGGGCTTTCTGGGGTTCTGGTGCATGCCAGAGCTGGCCATGTGGTCACAGATGGCCTGCCCCTGAGGGCCAGGGGCCTCTCGTTCACCTCCAACACCTCCTGGCCCTCAGGCCCACACCATCCACACTGCTCTCGTACCTGCCTCAGCCGTGCATCTGTCCAGGCAGGAGTAGCCCCTTGTGACCCGGCCTGTCTGTCCCCTGCAGGTGTTTGGGCTCATGGTGATTACTGCAAAATCAACCCCAAGACTGGAGGCATCGTCATGCTTGGCCGGAGGTGAGGAGGCTGCCCGAGGGGGGTGTGTGTGTGTGTGTGTGT